ATTTATAACATTAATACAATTGGTTTAGTACAATCACATAGCAGATGTATAGCTGTTTTAATCTGTTCATTACAAAACGTACATTCTTTTCTTGGGACTAAATTCATTTTAAACAGTAGATCCTTCGTATATAATATGCGTTGCAAAACTTCAAACTGAAACCATCGTAAGCCCACATCAATGGTAAAATTAAATCCAATAGAACAATATGTTTCCCAACTCTTATCAATCAGGTCGAAATACACGTTTACATAGTCCTTTTCTTCTCTTTAAAAAAGTTGCATAGATATGTAAACATCCTTTAATACATTTCATAACAAATGTCATTGTATCTGGGAAAAGAGGTTGTGGCACCATGTTAAAAAATAGTACAATTGTTAAACCCTTGTCTAATTGCATCGCATAATCCACGATAAAAAAGAAAATTTATTTGAATATTATACTTTTCTTGGAAATGTTTCAGAGAGAAAAAAAAATCACCATTTGTCTCTAAAATATCATTGACAAAGCGAACTCCTTTTTGACACAATTTTATATTATATATTGAGCTATTACCTATTTTAATGTAATCATTATTCCATAAGGGTTGGCAAGAAATGTTATCACAAGAGCGTACTGTAAGCCATGAACATTTCTTTCCAAAAAAGGTTCTTTGTTTTACCTGCCAGTTCCCGAAAATAATTGTTTCCCGAAAATAATTGTTTACTGTTAGCATATCTGTTACTTCCTTTATTAAAAAAGCAGCCATGTTCACCGAGAAAGTCAACAAGTTTTTGCTCTGTGGTGGCATCAAAGTCATACTTCTCCTTTCTTAGTTTCCCCGTTGCCTCATCTTCATCGCTATCAAACTGCCGTCTTGATGGTTCTCCCTCCTCGTCGTCATCGTGTTCATCTTCCATCGCCTCCTCCCGGTCGCTTTCGATGGCTTGATATTATTGTTGCTGCTCTCCTCCACTTTCTCCTTCCTCCTCATCTTTTTCATTACGTTTGTTTCCCTTTCCTCTCTTTCCTCTAACGGATTTCCCCTTTGGTCCCATATTTCTTCGACAGGGGGGCACCCTCGACGACACTATGAACAGGCGCACCGGAAGCAGTTTAGGATTGGGGGTGGGGGGGGGGGCAAACATTTCAGGGGCTCACCTTCCAGGGGCAATGGCGTAATGAGCAAAAACGTTTGGAAGGGGGGAGCAGAAGAAAAATCTGCATCACCACCACTCTTACACGTAAATTCGCGTGGGGTCGAGGGGCTGAGCCCCCGGAAGCTCAGAGGTTTTTAGATATTTAACTACGGTCAGATGAGCATCCAGGGGACCGCCTTAGGGCCCTTAGTGGGGTCCTAGGGCGGACCCCCTGTAAGCTCTTGGGTTTTAATTAGGCATTTAATTACGGTCAGATCAGCATATTTTGATACCTTATTTGTGACATTGGCAGGTCACTTATTTTTTCTCTCTTTCTTTCTTTTTCTCTGTAACATACTTTTTCAAAAAGTGAGGGGGCTCGAGCCCCCGAGCCCAGCTGTTCTGCAGGCCCTGACATGAAGGTTTTAAATAAGCATATTTTTCGCCCGACTGTAAATTTGGGAATTTCTAGTTTTCCAACAAACGCATTAAAATGTATGACTTACAAAAAAAATTGAGAAAAAATACCGGAAATCATATCTTTTCAGTAACATTTGTAAATCACTGCATGGTATCGAATAAGAAATAACAATAAAATCAGTACGCCAGCGTTCAGGGGCTCATGTCTTCTCAATGCTTTCCCATCCTCTCACAATAATTTCCATTAAATTATGATTATGAACATAGTGAGGATTTGAACTTCACGCGCTTGGCTTTATAACCGCTAAAAAATCAAAATTAGCATAAATTGTGTACGTACATGTACATGTACACCTTACGAGCACCTTACGAACGCCTTACGAACGCCAGGAGTCGTTCGTACGAAGACCATAAGAATCTCCGCTCGTAAGGAGTTCTTACGAACGCCATAAGAGCCCTCTATGAACAACTTGAGGCGTTCTTACGTTCATCGTAATAATTTGAAGCTTCTAGAATTGTCCCTCGACCCTACGAAATGTACGAAGATCTTGCGTGGTTCTTACGATGTAATTATGGCGTCATTACGGCCGCCTTACGAAGAGAGGGTTTCGTACGATGCTAAAAAAAATCTTGGACCAGACCATCGACCAATTTGTGATCTTACGAACGGTCTACGAACGGTCTACGAACGCTGGTTTCGTACGGCCTTCTTAAGAAGATCTTACGAAATGGTCTGAAAATCGTTCGTACGGCGTTCGTAACAGCCCGTAAGGGTATTTGTGACCAAGGCATTAATCATTCTATCACTTTCTCTTTCTGTCTTTCCTTATGTTATTCTTTGTTTCTTCCTTGCATCACATTCTCTTTTTGTCTTTCATTATGTTATTCTTTATTTTTATAATTCTATCACTTTCTCTTCTGTTATTCTCTGTTTCTTCTTTCTATTCTTATGTTAATCTTTGTTTTTTCCCTTCACTCACATTATCTTATGTTCTTCTTTGTTTTAATCATTCTATCACTTTCTCTTTCTGTCTTTCCTTATGTCATTCTTTGTTTCTTCCTTTTATTCTTATGTTATTCTTTGTTTTTCCTTCTTTGTTTTTCCTTCTATCACCTTCTCTGATGTTATTCTTTGTTTTTATAATTTTATCACTTTCTCTTTTGTTATTCTTTGTTTCTTTCTTCTATTCTTATGTTAATCTTTGTTTTTTCCCTTCACTCACATTCTCGTATGTTATTCTTTGTTTTAATCATTCTATCACTTTCTCTTTCTGTCTTTCCTTATGTTATTCTTTGTTTCTTCCTTTTCTTCTAATGTTATTCTTTTTTTTTCCTTCTATCACCTTCTCTTATGTTATTCTTTGTTTTAATCATTCTATCACTTTCTCTTTCTGTCTTTCCTTATGTTATTCTTTGTTTCTTCCTTGCATCACATTATGTTATTCTTTGTTTTTATAATTATTCTATCACTTTCTCTTTTGTTATTCTTTGTTTCTTCCTTCTATTCTTATGTTATTCTTTGTTTTTTACTTCTATCACCTTTTCTTATGTAATTCTTTGTTTTAAGCATTCTATCACTTTCTCTTTCTGCCTTTCCTTATGTCATTCTTTGTTTCTTCCTTATATCACCTTCTCTTACGTTATTCTTTGTTTTAATAACTCTATCACTTTCTCTTTTTGTCTTTCCTTATATAATTTTTTGTTTCTTCCTTCCATCACCTTCTAATTCTTTGTTTTATTATTGCGATCTATGCTCAAAACAGCAGTCGACAGTCGGCCGTAAACAATTCCAAAAAGCGCGCGCCGAAGTTGACCTATACTTCCTGGGTCAAACTGCGAGGGTGATGCGCAGTGGCTGGGCTCGAAATGAGCTAGAATCAGTGTTGATGAAAAATCGCTTGAACGCTAACCGCAATGACCTTGTTTTTTGTAACGGCGTTTTGATTTGTGATTCATGTTTGTGATTCTAGCTTCGAAAATTTGATTGAACGCACCCTTAATCTGCACTTCTACCTCTGTTCTATGACAAGCCTGCTCCACCAGCCATGATCAAGCACGGGATAGATGTCAATAAAACAAGCCAATGCCTTTTCTGCAAGCATCATACAGGCAAATGGGTAATCCATTTCTTGACGAGTTTGATGATCTGATAACATCCTGGGGAGGGGTCTAAAAAAGTTCAATCGATATTGTATGTGCCCCCCCCCCCCCCCTGTGGCTAGGTGCCTGCCTAGGACCCTCTACCCCAATTATTAGCACTGATGTTTTCTTAGTTTGCTTAGTTTCGTATCGTATTTTACATATGAGGATAATGATTTGTTTAAAAATGTTGGAGCTCCGACACAATGTCCCCGCTCGGAGTTCCTACTCTACTATTGTTCTGTAGGTCCTAAGGAATCCCTATACCAAAAAATTGGGATCGTATAACAACAATCCATGTGCGTTTACCTTATATATCTTTCAGGGGATCCGGGACAACGCCCCTGCCCCCTTCACATTTATGTAAATGTTTTCCTGGGGCTTCTTCCTTAATATTATTCAGTAGGTCCTAGGAGAGCCCTGTACCAAAAACAGGCGGTTGTATAAACACAAACAAGTGTGATCTTACATTACATTGGGGCTCTGGCACGAGGTCCCCGCCCCCGCCCCCATTACACATATATGAATATTATGCCGGGGGCTCCTACCCTACCATCATTCAGCAGGTCTTAATGAAGCCATGAACCAAAAACAACAAAAACTCAATGTTATATTACCTTATAAATTATTGGTTGGCTACGAGGCGACGCCCCCGCCTCCACACCCTAATAATGATATTTTCACTGGGGCTCCTACCCTAATATTGTTCAGTAGGTCCTAAGGAAGCCCTGTACCGAAACTGGCATTTGTACAAAAACAAATCAATGTTATTACCTTCTAAATGTATTTGGGGGCTCCTAAAAGACGCCCCCGCCCCACACCCTCAAATTGAAATTTTTGCCGGGGGCTCCTACTAGCCTAATATTGTTCAGTAGGTCCTAAGCCTAAGGAAGCCCTCTACCAAAAATAGTGCTTTTATCAGGCAAGTAAGGATAATTTCACTAGCCACCAGACTATATATACCTAACCCTAACCCTAACCTAAGCCAAGGCCTAACCCTAACCCTACCCCTAACCCTAGGTCTTTTACATTTATGTACTTTAACCGTACTGGTGGGGTATTCTAAAGTTAGGCCCCAGAGCATTACATTCTCTATATGTAATCTTTGGAACTATTCAGTCGTTGGCTTTACAATTATTAAAGATTAGAGTCTAGTTTCAGCTGCTTCATAACCCATTGACAGCAAACTTCCAGGCCGGTAGACCTGGCTGAAAGAGGCAGCACAGCTCTGGACAAATGAATTAAATTATACTGCACTATCTAGTAAGGTTGCACATATATGGATCTAAAATCTATGCACATGACAGCCATAAATCAACTTACCATTCATTATAGATCTCCTGTGATCAATCCTTTATCATGAATCTTTGTACAAAGGCTGCAGGTACATCCGATTTTAAAGGCTTCACTGTGAGTCTGTCTCCCATTTTAGAGTTTACAGTTGCATTCAGTTTACATGCACTAAAAATATTTGACATGTAGAGGGCGCTATGTTGAAAAATACTCATTTTCAATACCCCTTTAAAGGTGAACTTCAAAGAAAATCACAAATATGTCAACTAATGTATCACTAGAAACTGGTAAGCTAACAGATAGCCACCGTACAAGTTTTAGGTCAACTACATATCGGGTGATTTATAAAAATACAAATACAACCACCTCCAGTAGCAGCTGGGATATGCGAGAGATTCGCCGGAAAAATAACGATGTTTTTAATGACGTCACTATATGGACCAACACTGCCCAAGCAGACGACATCCCATAGAGAATGAACATAATTGCAAAGCTATTATTTCTCAAATTATAATGAGTTTAGTGTATATAAATGTAATGGCATGTCAAACCATTCAAAGGGGGATATGACCCGATTCCGATAACTAAAATCTTTTGCTTGTAAATACGAAGGATATGTGTTAATTAACGATCAAAGAAACCAGACTTTCGAATTGAAAACCCCCCGGAATGATATCAGGACGGCATTTGTTCCCTCTTGAAACGCCGAACATACCGCGCTGTGTGCAGCTGAATATTCAATACCGCCTTATTTTGTTTACAAGCGACAAATTCCTTTATTTTTGTATCGGTGCATTTGTCATCAAAATAAAACCGTGTGCGGGGTTTAGAGTGAGGCAATAGATTATAATTTTAGCCTGACGGTAGTGAAGTAAGAGAAAGAACTCAAGAGAAGATGTAAACACAGGCACTGAAAATGTGTGTGATGTCATGGGACATCGTCTGCTTGTGCAAATCGTGTCCATACAGTGATCTCACACATCTCAGGAGCGTTCGGAGAGCTCTTCAGGTGCTATGCCGGGGCTGTATTTAAGCGTTTTATAATTTATAATAATAATCACCTCGAATGTTTCCAAGCATTGAAGTTTGATAACCTTGTCGAATCACAGTTTCAACTTTGCAATAATGAAATTAAGTTAGTTTTTAAAATCAATGAACATCAACTTTAACAAAAAAAGTTTACAAATATGAAAAACAATAACAACAAAATAGTGACTATGAAATATCATAATATTTTTAGAAATAAAAAATTTATCAATTTTGTTTGGAATAGTAGGTTAAAATTAGATGAATAAGGTGGACAACACCTGCATGCCCCCATTCACTTTGTACAGGACACACAGAGATAACCCTAATCTTAAAGTTCTCTTTACATGCAACTTTGGGCTTTATTTCTCATTTCTTGCACATAGTGTTATGCAAAATACTTCTAAAATCATGTTCCAGCACAAAAAAAAGTAAAAATAGACATTCAATATCATTTTAAAGTAAATTCAAAGTTTTGTTAGTTGGACAACCACAGCAATTATAGAAATCGTGATTTTTACCCCAAAAATCATATAAAATCGAAAATGAGGAAAATTGATGTGAAACTGAATTTTTCTAAATCAGTGATACTAACACTTCAAAATAAAATAAAATTGGCAGATAAGATGACTTTTAAAAAAATTACACAAGATCCAAATTCTTTTAACAGATAGATCACTAAATGCTTATAAGTCAACTTCATTTTTTGGGCAATTTTGAAAAATTGCATATTTTTTCTCAAAATTGATTATTTCATCAGATGGGAATCGAAATTCTCTTTCCATCTATCTAGGTGAGGTTTGGATTCACCAAAAATTGACAAAGTTACAAGAGTTTTCCATAAGCCACTGGACAACTACTGCAGATGAGAGAGAGAGAGAGAGAGATGGAAGAGAAAAAAACAGATTACAAAAAAAATTTGTGCTCACTATAACCCTTGATTAAAGCATTTAATGATTTGAAAAATAATCTTTGATTGCACCTCAACATCCCTGGAAAGTGATAAAGAAAAAAAGGCAAACTGGATCACATGTACATGTATGCAGGATGCAAGTTTAATGTTTCATGTTAATATGCTTTCCTGTCTTCTCCTTTTGTTTCTTTATTACAGGATTCCTCTCTACGCTGGTGTTCTTATAACAATCACAGACACATTCGTTTTTCTGTTCCTCGACAAATATGGTAGGTCAAAGGTCATTCATTTCATTCAATTAGTAGACAGGAGAGGGAAGAGAGAGGAAGAGAGAGAGAGAGAGAGAGAGAGAGAGAGAAAGGTTGAGGAGTTGGAAAATTTGCCATCTTCATGTTCAGTGATATAATTCAGAATAGTGTAGGGAGAGATGAACAAAGAGAGAGAAAAAGAAAGAAAGTGAAAGAAAGAGAGAGAGAGAAGTAAGGAAGAAGGGAAAGAAAGAGAGAGAGAGAGAGAGAGAGAGAGAGAGGGGGGGGGGGGGGGAAGAAAGAGATAATAGAGAAAAAGAAAGAAATAGAGAAAAAGAGAGAGAGAGAGAGAGAGAGAGAGAGAGAGAGATTAGTTCTTGATTGAATGGTTTGTATCCACATGTATTGTAAACGATCTGTTTTAATATACTTGTATATTTAGAACAATCATATCGATTATAAGTATTGCTAGCAAATGTGATACATGTAGTAGACAAAAGTTTATAAGTCGAAGTGTGTGAGAGTGAAGAGAGATGGAGAGGAATGATGATATCATGTACCTGTTCAGCACATATTTTATTTGTAAACATACATTTATTGAAGCCTGCTCAATTACATTTCTTTTTCATTTGCCTTGCATCCTGAAAATCATTTATATTGCAGCACAGTTTTTACAAGAAACAAAGTCACCTGATACCCGGAAAGAATGGAAAATACTAGCCTTTATATTATCTTGTGGTTGTTCCTCTGACGGCATAGATCCATGTAACTTATACATGTAGATTAGTTGACTGATAGAGGGTAGACTCAAAATAGATACTTTTTGGATTGCTTTCTCTGTCTTTAAAGAGCAGTGCATTGTTTCATACACCTGCTGTAAGGTTCATTCCATTGAAACGTGTATTCATTTCCATTTAATCAGTGGGATAATGGTGAACGTTTAAAGTTTTTGTAAAGTCTTTCTTGTGAGACGCTGCCAATTCCTACCTTTAAACAGAGAAAAATACTTTCTTCAGTTCCATGCACTTTAGAAATGTATTCCAGTGATTCAGTTTGATCACATTTGGTTTTGTTTTTTTGTCAAATTGTTTCTGGGTAGTCTAAATATTTTTTATAAGGGACTCGTTACAGGAGAGCCTTATTTATTTGAAGAAAAAAAAGACTTTTGGCAATTGACATCATTTGGAAAGATACTGAAGAAACTGTACACCAAATGTGATATTCAAGAGTAATCTAATATTAAATGGCAATCTGAAATAATTTGGATTTCAAATTTGGAGTAGATATTTAACGCCCCTAAATGATATGATTTCTGAAATCCATGAATCATATACCAAGAACATGGATATTTATTTTTACTCTACCATTAATTGGGACTGGGGAAGTAGAACAGTCAGACGGTGGGATTGTAGATTCTACTGGGAAATGTCCTTTTTTATCGTTATTTTTTTCTTTCAGGGTTGCACTTTACCTTTAATTCAAATTAGCTATGGGAATTAACACATCTAGAAAGGCATTTTTCTGATATTAGATCAAGTAGTCATTTCTCAATTCTCTCTTTTATTCTCATATCTGTTTTCTGAAAAGTCGATAAGTCATCATCACTGAGCCCATCTTTGTATTTGATTTTCTGTCACTACCTGAACTAAAAAATCATTGAAAAAGTCAAGACCAAATAGCTGGAAAAGTAAAAACAGCCTTTGCAAAGTTGACCAAAAAAAATGCATTTGTTTCAAAGATATATAACAAGTACTGAATTTGCTATTTATGTTGAAAACTGTGGCCTGAATAGTAGCACATTGTAATTTCAATATTCTCTTTATTAGCATTGTAACTAAAGAAAAGCATGCAGTTGGACATGGTTGAAGTTGAATATTACCTTGAAATGCTATATATTTGTTTTCAAATAAAGCCAATATTGCATATGTAGCTCAAAACACAGAATGATTTTGCATATTACTTGTGTAAACTGCCCAGAAGTTTGATATAAAACATTTGAATGAAAATAATTAAATTGCATCTTGACTTGAGACTCTGTAGACTTCAACTGTACATCTTTATCTTGTTTTAAGCTTCATTAGATTTGATCTTCTTGTTTAATAGTTCAAGACTTTTACTGATTGTTTTTATTCCACCTTTTCATTTCATTTGTATCTCTTTGTACATAAGCAAACAAGCAGAAAAGTTGTCTTGTAGGCCTACCTTACAGGATACAACTCTGTGTGGGATTTCTTGTGTTTTACTTTGGAATTTTTTTTTATTTGTGTGCCAAGTTTCTACCACTTTATGGGTAGATACAATTTCACCATTATTTTGTTTTGTCCATCATTTATATTCTTTGGGATTTGATGATGTATTGCACCTTTATTTGATATTGGTAACTCTGGTCATTCTTAAATTTGTCTATTGAATGACATGTATATGGTTACCGGTAGTTTATTCATATCAATTTAAATACAGTCAAACCTGCTTTACCTGTATAGAAAGTTCACCTGTCTACAGATACCACATTTGTTGTTTCCCTTGAAAATGGTTTCTCAATGAATCATGTACCAAACTAAGGAACCTGTAGATAAAGACCACCTGTCTATAAAGACCACTTTTCTTGTCTCCCTTGGGCGGTCTTTATAAACAGATTTCACTTTATATTACTTTCCTTTGTTAACAGCAAGTTCAACTTAAAATGAAGAGAATTCAACCAAAGTAAGACTCAAACAACTTGCATGAATAGGTCACTGGTATGCTCTTTTTAAAATCTTATTTGCGTAAAATTGTAGACATTCAGATAATTCCATTTCATACATGGTACATCAATCTCAGATTTTTCTCTCTTGTTTTGTTTTTAGGTCTGCGTAAATTAGAAGCATTCTTTGCATCGTTGATAATAGTGATGGCCTTTACATTTGGATATGAGGTGAGAGACCAAGTAGCTTTAGAAGAAGACTACCGGTACCATACAATTATTTAGCGATAGGACTCTTACCGGTTATCTTTCAAAATCCTGATGATTCCTTGGTTAATAGCTTTTATACATTGTAGGTGTCGCGGTCTAGTGGATACCTCACTGGACTGTGGAACACATGGTTTGCGATTTAAGTCCTGCCGCGGCACTAAAGTCCTTTGTCATTAGAATAGACAGCTTTGCTTGGTCTGTATTCTACTAATTCAGTAAAACCTGAACCCAGATCTACAATGTAATATCACATTTAACAAAGACTGACTAATTACTTTGTTAAACCCAATTTTGAAGAAAAGTTGAAGCCCATTGTCAGGTTTAATAGAATATGGGCATTTTATCAATGTAGTACCGGTACATGGAAATGACATACATGTATTTGAACACCAGCATCAATTCCTGTCCTATTGGCTGTTCCAGTATCTTGCTGCAGCACATTCAGGAGCACCCTCTCTCCAGTGTCTGTTCTCAGATGCTGTTCTCTCATGCCTTTCAAGATCTTGATTTCGGAGAGAGGGCATGTCCCTTGACCTTCTCACGGCCTGTCTTATAAAGAGTTGGTATTGATCGCACCTTATTTGTGATTGATATGATTTATATTTAATACTAAGTACAAAGCTTAAATTTTGTACTTAAGTATTGAATTGAATACGGGTCGGTCCTGATCTCTTCATTGGTAATATGGTCAATCAATCATTTCCTGTGCTGTTTTCCTGTTCCACAAACTTTCAGTACGTGGCCGCAGCTCCAGACCAGGGCCAGGTCATGAAGGGGTTGTTTGTACCCTCCTGTGGGGACTGTGGAGAACAGGTGATCCTGCAAGCTGTAGGGGTCATAGGGGCCATCATCATGCCTCACAACATCTACCTGCATTCTGCGTTAGTCAAGGTAAATATACAGTCAAACCTGCTTAAGTGACCACCTGTATAGAAAGACCACATTTTTTTAATTTCCCTTGAAATGGTTTCTCATTGAAACATGTACTATAGGAACCAGTTTACAAAGACCACTTTTTATGTTTCCCTTGGGCGGTCGCTATAGACAGGTTTTACTGTATATGAATCATATACAGTCAAACCGGTCTAAGGGACCACCTCTATATAAAGGGCACCTGTTTATAGTGGTCATTTGTTGTTGTCTCCCTCGAGATATAAATATGTATTATAGAGTCAAGAAGGGCCACCTGTTCTACATGTATACATGTAGATCTGGGCCTCATCTCATGAAGAATTGGGAATTATTTGAATCAATCACAACTCTTTCTTATACAGGTCCCTGATCTTGAAATGTTTAAAGCTCCTCGAAAGTGTTGGGAGCCCCAAAAATTGGATGGAAAAGATTTACTTAAATTGATTCATAATGTGAAAGAGGATGTCATTTAAGACACATTTTTGCAAGGATTTTCAAAACAAATGTGTTTCAAGTTGAATATTGAGGAAAGTATACAAAATTTAGGTTTTCTGTGTAAAACAAAAAACCTAAACTATGTACCGGTACTCTTTTATCAATATTTGTCTTCAAACACATTTTTTTTTTTTTTTTTTTTTTGGGGGGGGGGGGGGGGGGTAAATCTTTGCCGAAGTGTGTCTTAAATGACATCCTCTTGCACATTATGATACAATTTAAGTGAAATTTTGCCATCCAATTTTTGGCGAATTTGGGACTCCCATCCCTTCAGAGGGGCTTTAAGCTAAAGCTTTTCCCTATGTATTCTTATCAGCTACCCAATCAATACTTCTGCTCTTTCTCATTACTCATTCATGTAAAAGTCTCGAGACGTAGAGAGGAGCAAGAAAGAGGCCGTGAAAGAAGCAAACAAGTACTACTTCATTGAGGCCAGTATTGCTCTCTTGATCTCCTTCATCATCAACCTGTTCGTCGTCTCTGTCTTCGCTGAAGGACTTCATGATAAAACAAATGCACAAGTGGTAAGATATCTAAATGTACTATAGATACTTAAGGGCATCATTTAACAATGATTAATCTGAGATGCATGGCTCTTCATGTTATCAGTGTCTGTAATATGGTGTAATATTGAAGCCCTAAAAAAGTTGCGCTTCAAAATGATCATGAAGTGCCTCAAAAAAGTAAAAATCTTTGAGTGACCGGTTTTACCATACTCGTTTTCCCCAATAGACCATAGTGTTATCAAAACTGTTAGGAAAACGCAAAATGAAATTTCGATTTTCAATCATAAATATCTTGATAATCAGACAAGCGATCCGCTTGTAAAAGTCATGGGGTTCCTGACTGACCTAAATGTTTATAATTATCTTTGCAGCATGAGCTAAATCCTGGATTTTGTTTCAGAGTCTGAGACAAAGTTACATGATCCCTTTAATGTTTGATTAACAATGATAATGGATAATAATTGGGTCTTACCTGTATGTACTCATCGTAGCTACGTCCATTTTAAAACCGGTCCTCCCTGCAGGGCCTCCTAGTTTAAAAATCATGAAAAATCTATTGTATCTTTTATCTTGCTGCCATTAATGTTATCTTTCTAGTGCATGTATAATGTATTTTACCATGCATTGTATCTGTAAGATAAATGTAAGAAACTATTGATTGCAGCATCTCAATTTATATTACGGGACAATACGATTACTAGAATATTGTAATTTTGTAATTGCCTTAAGTTTGTCTATTTTTGTTCTCTCTTACAGCATAACAAGTGTGTGGAGCACAACCTTAACATGTATATTGATGTTTTCCCAAATAACGATACATTAGTGGAGAACGTTGATTTATACCGAGGGGTAAGTTTATCTAATAGCTGACTGCAAGTTTGGACTGATTGCTCTAGTAATTCAAGACCAAGTAATTGATGTTCACGTAACTTCTTAGAGCATGATTTTCTTGAGAGATGGATTATTGCAAATGAAATTTGTTATGCAGGTTGTGTGTAACATATCTAAAAAGTTAGTTGAATTGTCCATATCCCTGATTTAATATGATTAAAAAAACATAAAAGTTTCAGACAAAACAAAATGATGTAATATTCTTTTTGGGAGTGTGATATTTGGAAGATGGGAACATCACATAAAACTTGTTTGAGTTCTTGAAAAATATGGTTATCTCGCTATCCATTGTTAATTTGTACTGACTTATTTGAAATTTAGATAGTTCTTGTAAAGAAATGATCATTAAGTCAATATTATCCCAATTAAATGTTGAGCTTTGTCGTTAATTGATCAAGTACTTGTATTCCAAGGATGTTCTGAGGATCCGTAGAATTGCCCACAGAAGTCAAGAAATATTATGAATTTAATGTATGGTTGTTTACTTTCATGTTGTTTCTTCAGGGTGTCTTTTTGGGCTGCCAGTATGGTGCTGCTGCCCTCTACATTTGGGCTGTGGGCATCCTGGCATCAGGTCAAAGTTCAACCATGACCGGTACCTATGCAGGGCAGTTTGCCATGGAGGTAGGTCAACTGATTTCAGAGTAGGGGAGGGGGTGGGCTGCATTATTTAGAATCAAGACAAAGGAGATGCTAGAAGATATGAGAGCATCTGGCCTCGCCTATTAGAGCGCTGAAAACTAGAACGCTGAAGTCTGGAAAGCTTGGAGAAGTGCCATAAATAAGGGAAATGAAAAATCCAACCACACAACATAAGAAAAACGGACGATAAACGATGATGAAGGAAGAAGATTCAGTTTTTTTCAAGAGAAAATTTGAATGGAGAGAAAAATCAGAATTTGGGCCATGTTAACTGACTACAGCAGTGCTTGGTTACTGTGAAACCCAAAAGACTCTTTCATGAGTGGTGTAGATTTGTGAAAGTGTGATGAAGGTAGTGAAATGATGAAATTACAACATATTTTGAAAACTGCGAGTTATGTGCTGCAAAACTCTTGTCGATGACAGAATAGGAAAATTTTGTGTTGTAAATGTTTTTGTTCAACTCTAGTGAACTCTTATGTCCACACAGGGCTTTTAGAATGTGAAGTGGTCGCAACAGAGGCGGATCCTTTCGAGCTAGTCTGTAGTAAGCGTCCTCTACATATATATGCCCACCATCCTTAATCGTGTCTTTCTCACTCAACTGAATGTTCCCTTTTCATACAGGGCTTTTTAAATCTGAAATGGTCACGCTGGAGAAGGATCGTTCTGACCCGGTCTATCGCCATCTGTCCCACCATCCTGATAGCGATCTTCAGTGGTATTGATGATCTCACTGGGATGAATAATCTACTTAATGTTCTGATGAGCTTACAGGTGCGTTGCTCCACGTCATACTTTCTTGTATTGTGTAGTACAGTGTTATATCAATTACCTACATGTTGATGTAGACATGGGTTAGGGGTTGTGATTGGATGAATGACCCATTTAAAGCCACACTGTACTTCTTGAAGCTACTTGCTCCCTCTATATAGAAAACTTCCCTAATTGGTGCCTGTTGGTCCCCCATGATCTTAGCTCATTTTCTTATGTTAATTGAGAGCTGAGTTAATAAGATAGCCACCTGTCACAGTGACCTTGCTGGCTAGTCTAATCCCTTCTGGCTGAACTAGTACAGCCGGCCTTTAATGGTCTGATGAGCTTACAGGTACATTTCCCTTTCTCATACTTTCTTGTATTGTGTAGTATAATGTCTATGTAGACATGGGTTAGGGGTTTTGGTTAGATGAATGAGCTTACAGGTATGTGCTACATGTAGCTTCATTACATATGAATATTATCAATTATTTGACTTGAGAAGTAGCAGAAAAGTTAAAGAAATAGATTAGAGGATCACAGTTTCAGAAAAATGAGACAACTAATAAAGTACCTATAATCATGAAATTATCTGTATTGGTACAGTTAACAACTACATTATTCATACCATCACCAAGTTTTGCAATTTTTTAGTTACCGGTATGTGAAAAATTGATTTGACGTGATTTATATTTCTCGAGAATGTGACTTATTAAAGCTTACATCGAAAGTCTTCAACAGAGGCATTAATCAACCAGTTCTCCTTTCATCCTTGAGTTACGAAAAGCGCAAAGAGTATCAAGTATCTTTCACTTTCTTTATTTTAAATCGCTTTCTTTTTAATTACAGCTTCCATTCGCACTTATTCCCATCCTGACCTTCACCAGTAGTAAGCCTCTCATGGATTCATTCAAAAATAGTCTGTAAGTATATCTTTTCTCACTTATTATAATAATTAGATCAATTTATACAGTGCGTCCCAGAAAAAACGAAACCGAGAATTATTGATATTTTATCATAACTTAATCACAATTATAATTAATAAATGACACATATTTGTAAAGCTTAGATACTCTTCTTTAATTTGATGCAACTCATATGATGCATATTTCATTTATGAGTGATTAAAAGCAATTTGAAGAGAGGAAACCAAAATGTCGTTTGGCGGACGGTATCTGAATTTCAAAGAGAAAATCACATTTCTAGAAAGTTCAATTTCTGCCCTTTAATATGACACCTCAATCAGGAAAAAATGAGCCAGAAATAACAAAGTTCTGTTTGTTTAAAGTAATGCTTGCATTTCCATAATTTGAGTAAATGAACTCATCTATGATATAAATGTACTCTACTGCGCTGTGATGAAATCAAAACATTTACCAATGGGGCAAGTCAATTGAGGCCACCTAAGGGAAACAGAGAAATTAGCCACGGTAGATGGGTGGCCTTTATAGACAGGTTTTAAAAGCCATTTCTCTCTTCAGGGGACACAAAATACATGGCCACTATAGACAGGTGGTCTTTATAGAAAGGTGACCAACTAAGGCAGGCTTGACTGTATCTACAACACACATTTCTCTCTCTAGGGACACAAAATACATGGCCACTATAGACAGGTGGTCTTTATAGATAGGTGACCAACTAAGGCAGGCTTGACTGTATCTACAACACACATTTCTCTCTCTAGGGACACAAAAAAAGGGGCATTATAGACAGGTGGTCTTTATAGAGAGGTGACTAACTAAGGCAGGCTTGACTGTATCTACAACACACATTTCTCTCTCTAGGGACACAAAATACATGGCCACTATAGACAGGTGGTCTTTATAGAAAGGTGACCAACTAAGGCAGGCTTGACTGTATCTACAACACACATTTCTCTCTCTAGGGACACAAAATACATGGCCACTATAGACAGGTGGTCTTTATAGATAGGTGACCAACTAAGGCAGGCTTGACTGTATCTACAACACACATTTCTCTCTCTAGGGACACAAAAAAGGGCCATTATAGACAGGTGGTCTTTATAGAGAGGTGACTAACTAAGGCAGGTTTGACTGTATTAAAAGCCCATTGTATACATTGCCACACTCGACCAAGGTGATGTTAATGGGTACCTGGCAGGAATTAATTCTTTGAAATGCTAGAGTGCAGTAATGGCAGCCATACTAAAGCCAGGGTAATAAATGTGGAGCGCCAGGAGTGTCCAGTCTAACGGACATAAACACTATACAAGAACGTTCTATTGTATATTATTTCTGTTTTTCCCCCCCTCCCCAGGTTATCTATCATAGCGTGCAGCTTGCTAGCTGTCTCGGTGATAGGCATCAACATCTATTTCGTAGCCGTTTTCCTACCCACACTACCACAGCACTGGGCGATGTATATCTTTGAAGCCATTTTGTTGCTGGTCTACTTTGCCTTCATATTTTACCTGGTGAGTGTTGTAAAGATTGCTTTGAAGGAAAACAGCAAATAGATAATAAGTCCATGAAGAATCATTTTGATACTTCATTATGTTTTCAGAATTTCACTAATTTTTCTCATAGTCATAGAACATGTACATAATAATGATAATAATTAGGTAAATTTTGAATATGCCTAATACTATGTTTCTAGGCACCATGGTGTCTGTCCTGTTGTCCTATCAGCCGTTAGGTAAAGCATAGTACTTCTACTTGATAGAGAGCTAGGACAACAGCACCAACAAAAAAACATTAAAAATTGATATTTCCTCTTGCAGGTTGCCTTCTTTGTACAATTGCTTGGATGGAAATTTCCACCATCAATACAGGTAAGGAAAAGATTTTTAATTCTTTGAAAGTCCAAAAAGTATTGTAAAATAACAGGAGAAAAAGACAACAAAACATACTGAAATTATTCAAATTTTGTTTTTAAACTTATTACAATATCATTCATACTTATGTGCATGTGATGTAATGTAGTTTATTGACTTGTATTTGACAAATTTCAAAGTTGGTCCTTTGAAAATGAGAACATCGTTTAGATATCCATTTGGAGCTGTCAAGTCCATTTGAAGGCATTGATTTTGTAGAACACAGTCATAGAGGCTGTTCACACCGGCAGAGAAAGCGCGCTCTAGACCTAGACCGCTATATCTCTGCGGTTTGGAAGGTACAACGTCGTTTCGGTCCGCCCAACAGCGAGCCACGGCGAGCCAAAACGGCGTGCCACTGGAGCACCTCTTGGGGGTGGTCCACGAGAGATAGCGCGGTCTAGCGCGCGCTAGAAAAAAAAGGGGTGCTACGATAGACCGCGCTATCTCATGGCGGTGTGAACAGCCTCATAGTCATAGCCATGGGCATATTCTTTATTAGTCATATTAAAAGCTCAAATAAGCTACATATAATTGCGTATCCATACGTTTACCCATCCATTATGTGCATGCTTCATACCATTCTATGCTTTGAAAATTAGTTCTGTCTTCACAATCAGTGTACAAATTTGGTAAGCTTTCAATTATTGTGCTGCAAGCTTCTTCAGACCTATGTCATAGCTGGCGATGTTACTGATGCAGTAGGTCTTAAAGGCCACCTGTTCTAATTTGGCCGTGATAAGCTACTGAAATCCTTGATTCTGATTGGTTGTCAGCAGATTAGTCACTGATATTTGTCATTTGTCATTGAAAAAAAGCTTTGTGAAACACCCCCTGTACCCTTGTTTTGGCCGAAGTGCATCCCTGCTACCTCACTATTTATTCAAGAAGAACTTCCAGCGCCCTTTTTCATGTTCCTTGAAGTGATTGTATAATGTTCTGCTATTTTTAGTGTTGGTTGTAGCTGACCAGTGTGACCTTGACCTTCTCTTATACTGACCTTTGTCCATGTTTTGCAGAGGTTCTTTAATGGCCCACTGACGTCCAGCAGTCCGGATCAAACTGAGTCCAATGAGTCTGCAGCGTTACTATCATCATCAATGTGATAATTAGCATCATTATATCATCTTCATCATCAGCATCATCATCATCAGCAACTCCATCAGTTTTATGAAATCACACCGTGCTTTCTTCTCCGTCCATTCAGATGTTCATCACTGCCTTGGTGACATCCTACAGCTGTTCGCGCTGACTTTGTGCAGTCTAGACCATGTTGATTCTTTCTCTTCACTTTGCGTCATCATCACTGCCATCTTCATTATATTCGTAATGATGATCGTCATAAACATCACCTGTATCACGATCTCACACTATACTTTCTTGCTCGTTCACGTACAGCGCTTCTTTACGGCCGCAACAACGTCCTACAGTCTGGACAACACAGAGTACCACGCAGAGGATGATAACGTGGAGCTCTCGGGATCCTACGGTCAGCAACAACTCGCTTCCTACCCGGAGGAGGATGACACGCCCGGCGACGCCCTTAGAGATTAGCTGGAGAGGGGAGGCGATGCCCATTGCACAATGTTGCAAACCCACTTGCTTGCTTATACCGGCGCAATCAAATTGTGTCAATGGTCATGCATGTTGGAACCATACTTTCCGATAAGACGAGCTAAGCATTACATGTATTTATATTTTTCTTTAGTAAAACCTTGCAAGTTCCTTAAGATGTGAAAACCAAGTTAGCCTTTGTCTCTTTCAGATATTATATTTCTATTGTAACTCGTAGGGATCATACAAAATAGCTCTTTTGTACTAAATATATGCTTTTCCATGTCCAGACTGCTTCTTGTCATGCCGGAAGGCAGGTCCTTTGCTGACAAGGAGCTTTCAAAGACTTCATTTTATCTTTCAAATAGGTGCTAAATATCATTTTCTCATTGTCAAAATGTTAAAGGGTGGCATTAGTAGTTGCCTCTTTTATTTTTTGTACATACCTTCTTAAAAGAATTTTCAGATATTTATTGATTTTAGTAATATCAATTATGTTTGTGGTTTACTCTATCTCAAAGTCCTTTGCTGACAAAAAGCTTTCAAAGACTGTACTAGTTACTTCAAAATGGGTGCTAACTGTTATTATCTCATTGTCAAAATGTTAAAGGGTGGCATTAGTAATTGCCTCTTTTATTTTTTGTACATTCCTTCTTAAAAGAATTTTAAGAGATTTGTTGATTTAGTAACATCAATTATGTTTGTGGTTTACTCCATCTCAAAACCTTTCTCAGCTCACATGGTAAAAGTAACATGTACACTTGTATGTCATGTCAACAGGGTATAGGGTCATTCACAATTTCACACAACTTGGTAAACGGCAGCGGTTTATCTTATGAAGACATATAAATGCGTGATATGCTCAACATTTCTTTTTAAGACACAGATAGTGGGTATGCATCATAGGAGTGCTGTTGTGTAGGCTATTTTTTTAAATTAATTGTCATTTACATTACTACCATTCATTTACCCAAAAAAAGATAGGAGGAAAAAAAAAAAAAAAAAAAAAAAATGCTGCATTTCATGTGCCTTGTGTGAGTGGGCCATAAAAGGGATAATATTTCTCAAGCTGAATATACATAATAGAAACCAAAAGGACCTGCTGCATGACAATTAATTCTGATTTGTGTTACATGTGTGCTTTATGTACACTGTATGTATTGTGTGTGCATGTGAATTGATCCCGGCATGCTGCATTGTACCCTGTATACAGTTGAATCATGTTATAAAGAACACAATTACAATGTGTTGGACTGTTGGTCCGTCTTCTTTGAATTCTATTGCTTTTTAAAGGTAAAGACCAGTTTTGGAAACGCCCCCCTCTCAAAAATGAAATGGAAGCTCTTATTACCAATCATGTGAAAGTATATGTTTTGACTAATACATGATGATAACAATTTTGCCGGGAAACTGCCTACTAATTGATATATTTGGTAAATTAGTTTATCTATTGGGACCAAATAGATAATACGCATGTGTCGCGCACGTGTGCGTAGTCCCATATACATCTTTCTGTGTACAGTGCTTGTAACTTTACAAAGACTGGGCCAAATTTCTTATCATTTTGATGATTCCAGAACCTTGCAGTACAAACCAATACTTATATGCTAGATGATCAACCTTTCCTGATTGATTCCACAGCGTTTCTTTCACAATGCAATCGCATGCCCATAACTGGTCTATACCTTTAACCCTGATATAATCTCTTCTTCCAAAATGTTAATATATCACATTCCACTGAGTAAGTATGTACAGTTAACTCTGCATAATTCAAAGTTGCACAAGTCAGGTTTTCCCCAAATCAAATCAATTCAAAAAATATTATTTTCTAACAAACTATGCAAAACATGTATTCTGTACACTCCTCAAGTCAAATTTGCACAAGTGAAACCAGTTCATGCAGTCCCAACAGATTCAATTTAATATGCAGAGTTTACTGTACTCTTAAAATGATCTTATAGCAATTTGTGCACATCAATTTCCTTATAGTTGCCTGCACTTACATGTTGCTATATCCCAACATGATGTATTAAATATTCACCCATAGATCCCTTGCCTTTGCTTTCACACTGAAAGATGAAATACAAGAAATTAATTGTCATTTATTTCATATTTGACAATAATTTTTTTTTCTATAATGTACCGTGCATGGTGGCAGGGCTGTACACTAACTTTTTGGAAGGGGGTCTGGTTTGAACTTTTTAGCGTCTAATTTTAGGGGTCTGGATTCGGTATCCTGGGCGCCTGTTAGTGTAATTTATTTTTTAATTTGATAATGAAAATCTTTCCGAAAGTGTACCTTGCAAGTTTTCATTTTAAATTCTGATAATTTTTAAATATTTTTTATGATGTTATTAAGGTATGTATTTGCAATTATGCAGTAATTTATGAAATATACATTTTTATGCCTTAATAGTAGTACTGTAAATGTAATACTAACAATGCTGGTATAGCTGGTACTACCATAATTTTTTCTGTTGTCACTTCAATATAAAACATTTCGACCCCGTGTCAACAAAACTTAATTTTTCTGGGCAATCGACCCAAATGTGCCTTAATGTCATTTGCAAAATTTGGGTGACTGTACTCTTAGAAAAAAATGTGCACTTGTGCAGAATAAAATATGAAACTTAGTGAAGAGATGTTCTGTAAGTTTGATCTTTTGATATTTTTTAACTGGAAGGAACAATACAAAGTGGTTTAGAAACTTTGCTGTTGCCCATGGATTATACGTTTTCATATTGAAAACAAGGCAAACATTTCATAATAAATTTGAATATGATTTACAGTATACGTAATGTGAATACCAAATATGAATATCAAATATGAATGAAGAATTTTAACAATCATATGTTGTTTACTGTTTAGCCTGTAGTGTAAATCGGTATATATGCATGTGCAGGGCTCGTCTTTGACTGCAGGATAAACAACCCAGAATGAATTATAGTCATGCTCTCTCTCAACATCTGATGCACACACCAGAGCTCAATATTAGCTTTAAGTCTATCACACAGTGTATTAATATAACAACAGTTTTATTAAACTTGCCTGACAAGGGCACTTTTTTAATATGTGGTTGTTTAGGAGAGCAGTTACAGTTGTAAGTGGTCATGTGCCACTTCAGTTGTCGATCCTTGCTTGATGAGATTGTATCGTCTGTCCCGAGCCAGAACTGTATCAGCATTGCTGTGGCTTGTACATGTACACTGTCACCCATAAAGTTGGAATACATTTTTCTTAACCTCTCTTCATGAAATGATTATGCTAATTTGATTTATTCTTGATAGAAATATCTTCTCAGAACTTTATTGATCAATTTAAAGAGATGGATCCATACAATTCTGAGAAATGTAAACTTTGTCTGTCAGGAATAAATCATTTCAAGAAAAGAAGTAAAAACCAATAAATATTCTCTTTATTGGCAACAGTTTATATCAATTAGTAAGTAATTGTCGCACTGAAAATATATTATGCCTTTAAACAACATCATGTACTGCCATGAATTATACAGTGTACTTTGCATAATGTTTTAATGTCACCAAATATGATTATGAACAATAATGGAATAAAGATATAATATTTTATCAAAACTTTGATGTATTCAAAAGAGCACTTTATTGAATATTTTCAACATATAGGTCCATATTTTACTAATACAATTAAACTTAACCCTGGGTCAAAGGTCACATTTAACAAAGGGAAACTTCAACCTGTATTCAAAAGAGCACTATATTGAATATTTTCTTTCAACACAATCAACATATAGGTCCATATTTTACTAATACAATTAAACTTAACCCTGGGTCAAAGGTCACGTTTAACAAAGGGAAACTTCAACCTCACACTAATTTCATTTTTAAAACTCTAGCCCAGCATCAGGTTAAAATTTGAGTAGATTACAGGTCACATTTAATTATCAATTATTTTGATACACATGTTTTCTTAGGTAACATGCTGTACAGACCAGAGCCCTCTTTCATAAAACTTCTTATCAATAACAAATGCTGAAATGCTTCTTTTTAAACAAATTGGCAACACTGTGACCTATTATGTGAGCTTCTCTGATTTGATCTATACAGAACATTTTATAAACTTTAATTTTCTTAGTTATTCATGATGGAATAGATTTGTTTCATATAGGGGTTGTAATAAAACTTATTAGCAATAGTTATATTTAGGGTGAACGTACAAGTACAGGGCGAATGGGAGGGTAGCATGCAAGATACATCACAGAGTTACCAATTTGTGTTTGATTGACTGCACCTTCTTCAAACAAATCGTAACTTTCTTATTAGGGACTTTTAGATTTGCACAACGACAACGTGGATTGCTACGATCGACGTCCTTTTAATACACTGCCTTGAATGGACGTCACACGTATCAGTCCACGCAAATCTAAAAGTCCCTATTATCTGTCTCTTACCGACATTTCATTTTTCTGCTCCTATTAAAGCCAACTTAATATCAGGGTAGACTTCTCATATTTATGGTCTAATAAAGACATTTTAAAGGAAAATATTAAGCATGTAAAGCAAGAGGCCTATTGCCTACGAGTTGATGAGATCAATATGTCTGTGATGCCAATAACGTTTTACTGTCTGCACATCTACAATTTTTTATCCAACAGTTAGTTAACAATGACGATAGTAGTGAGTTATTGTATAGCATTGAAGTCTGCCATACAGGACACTCCTGGCGCTCTAATACTATTGCCTCGGCTTTATTACGATGCTGTAACATTTTGAGGAATTGGGGCCAGGAACCCAATTACCTCACCTGGTTCGAGTGTGGCAAATGTAGATTAATGTCTTGCCAAAGGATGTTTGTGATGTGGCAGGATCTCAAAGTCCTGTGATCTAGTCTGGGGACTTATCCACTAGACCACAACACCTCTACATCTCAACATTTCTTGTATTCAAGATTGAAACCACCATCATATCAAGCACTAGAGCTCAAGACTTGTTCCTTCTGGTCTAGATCCTGGTCTAGATCTTGGTCAGTAAGATGTCAGCTTCCACGAAATCTCGCTCTGTCAAGAGGAATGCTGCTCTTTTTTCTTCTTCATTTTTTCCAACGTCTCAATCTGATCTGTAAATCACAAATGCAAATATACCAAAACATTCTTTAGAAGGTTAAAGAAGAATATATACAGTACATTTGTATGCTTTTTACATTGCCTTTGTCATAAAAAGCGTGCTTGTACTAATTTCCTGCACAGATAAAACTTTTGCTTTTTCAACTTGGTTACTGCTGAATTGAATCCATTTCCTAATACACCAGTTTACGGTTACAACAGTGTGCAGACATGAGCGCCATTTTAATTTACGAGTAAACAAACCAAATGACCTCTAGAGGTCAGTGCTTTATGCGTAAATGAAGATTGCGCCCATGTAAATTATGATGTGAGCGCACAACACAGCGCGCAGGCGGTGATATCATCATAATTTGCATGGGCGCAATCTTCATTTACGCATAAACCACTGACCTCTAGAGGTCATTTAGTTTGTTTACTCGTAAATTGAAATGGCACCCCTAACCATAAGCTGGTGTATTGTATTCTCCTTATTAAAGACTCTCCATTATGATCCATTTTTGACAATAGTCTTCTGTGTGAAATAATTCAAATGTTTTGCAAGTTTTTCAACACATAACCATGACAGTTGCCTCTTGCTTTCCACTAAACCAGGAAAATGATTCCTTTGATAGCCAATGCCCGTGCCCCTAGACAAGGCAGGAGGCATTTATCTACACTTGTCTCTTGATCTTCATCCGGGCAGGTGTATTAATGGGTGCCTGGTAGAAGGATCTTCATCCGGGCAGGTGTATTAATGGGTACCTGGTAGAAGGATCTTCATCCGGGCAGGTGTATTAATGGGTGCCTGGTAGAAGGATCTTCATCCGGGCAGGTGTATTAATGGGTGCCTGGTAGAAGGATCTTCATCCGGGCAGGTGTATTAATGGGTGCCTGGTAGAAGGATCTTCATCCGGGCAGGTGTATTAATGGGTGCCTGGTAGAAGGATCTTCATCCGGGCAGGTGTATTAATGGGTGCCTGGTAGAAGGATCTTCATCCGGGCAGGTGTATTAATGGGTGCCAAGTAGAAGGATCTTCATCCAGGCAGGTGTATTAATGGGTGCCTGGTAGAAGGATCTTCATCCAGGCAGATGTATTAATGGGTGCCTGGTAGAAGGATCTTAATCCAGGCAGGTGTATTAATGGGTGCCTGGTAGAAGGATCTTCATCCAGGCAGGTGTATTAATGGGTGCCTGGTAGAAAAGAAACCCTTGAATACTGTCACAATCTTTCTCTCTCTAAGTGCCATATCGATTGACTTTGGCGATCATGCTGTTCCACAACCCTCGGTTCCTAGCCTTCTGTATTAGTACCACTCCCAGTTCTTTCACTCCTCTCTCTTCAAACAATTTCTGCAGACTGTCCATCCAAAGTATCCTCCTTCTTCCCCTGCTCCTTCTTCCCACAATTTTCCCTGTCAAAGCAAGATTCTCTAGGCCTTATTTACATGTAATGTGACCCATGAACTTCAACTGCCTAATCAACATCTCACTTCACAATAGCAAAGCTTATTCCTGGGTAATTTGGGAGCTGCTTGAATATGGGTGTATAGGATTGACTTAGCATAGGCACTGTACCATAAGGATAAGATGGTGATGATGATGATGGGAGTGATGATCATAATAATAATAATATTTAATTTTTATATAGCACTTAATACGAATACAAATATACTATTACCCCGGTCATTGGATTCAGTGCTTTCCCACCCGCACACAATGTGTGCACAATCTTCACTCCCTGGGGAGCATTCCAGCCAGGCATTACATGACACTCAAAAACTGTTTGACCAACAATGACGGTCGCATCCTACCGGGTACCCATTTAACACCTGGGTGGAGAGTAGCAATTGCAGGTTAATATCTTGCCAAAGGATATCAGTGCCGTGTCGGGATTCTAACCCTCAACCTTCGCATCTCCAAGTCAAGCGCCTTAAACCACTCGACCACGACGCTCCCAGTATACTATACTATACTATTTTATAATTACGTTAGCATTACACTGGAAACCGCTTGCTTACCCACAATAGTAATTTGAGGTAACTTTTCTTCATCAAGGATCTACCACCTTTGTGTGAAAGGACAAGAGACATTGGAAAATGGCCTTTATAGACAGGTTATTTTTTGTAAGACCCTGTTTCTAATGAAAATTAAACATGATTTGTAAGGTGGTCTTTCTATACAGGTGGTCACTAAAGCAAGTTTCACTTCATATACTTACTCTTGCATTGACTTTGGCAATGAGCTTTGTCTGTAAGAAAGAACACCTGGCTGTTTTGTTGTTGTTTGTAGACTTTCTAAAGTGATCACAAGAAATGGAAGAAAGTGAAGATCTTATTAGTATTTCTTACTTTTCCTTCCTCATCCTTTCTTCTTTCTCTTGCGCTTAGAAACATTGTATTAAACGCATTATAAATGTAATGTATTATTATTATCATTCTTATTAATCAGAGTCTTCAGTAAAAACATTTACATCACAAGTGCACATGCACTTATTTCACTAAATTACATGTAAATACCACTAATGAAAGTATTAGGGATTGATAAGAAACAAAAAGGAACAAAATTGAAACAAAAAAAATAACTTTTAAATAAATGGATTAAATGGAAAAACTATAAACTAAAAACACAATTTGAATATATTCATCACTCAAATAGCTAGCTACTACAGACATGAATCAATTTCAAGCGTACTTGTGTCAAATTGTTATGAAGTATCCTGTTTGACAGATCTTTAAAGCCCCACTGTACTACTTGTAGCTACTTGCTCCCTCTATATAGAAAACAATGACTAATTGGTGTGACCATGATCCTCTTTTTCTTATATTAATTGAGGGGTGAGTTGATTACATAGCCACCTGTCAGTGACCACGCAGGGTTATCCCTCCTAGCTAAGTAGTGCAGATGGCCTTTAAAGGTTTATCACAGACATAACTTGTTTACTACAGATGTACTTCAAGCTGTTGTCATAGTCGTAGATGATACTCAAAGCTAAATGTAATGCAACAGTTATATTTGTCGTATTTATTCTTCACTTTTCATTTTGCTTTCCATACTCTATGATTTACATCTCTTTGCATCTCCGCTCATGGCCTCCATTCTCCTCTCCACCTTTACACATCACTCTCATTGCCATTGCCACACATTGATTCTTCCTTTCTATTTCCATTCATTTCCGCTTGACATGGTGCTATTGTTTAGTTTTCATGTATATATTCAAAACATCTCATGATCATTCACCCTTCCATGTTACTGCCTATAGAGTGGTGAAGTGTGACGTCATCACAAATCTATTTTTTTAGAATTTCTCAATTTTTTTTCTTCATTTTCTGAAAGATCATCAAAAATAATGTCCAAACGTCGAAAATCAATTGAATATGTTGAGTATTGGCTGAGATATGACCATCTGAATAAATATATTTCCTATAGGAGCTCAGTGTCATTTGCTTTGACTCCTAATGACATATTCAATTGGTTTTCAACATTTGGACATTATTTTGTATGCTCTTTCGGAAAATGAAGAAAAATTGAGAAATTCTATAAAAAAAATGTTATGACGTCACAGCTTCGGTACTCTTTTGGTTCTTCCTTCTTCCTGGGTTCTTCCGTTATGTTCTACACTGTACTACTCCAATTCTATTCTGATTCTTTTCTGCTTTTTTTATGATGTCACTTATGTTCTGATCTGTTAAAATTGAGTTTCTCTAAGTAAAGTCAGTGTAACAAACGATCTGGTCTTATCAAGACACATCTCTTAATTTTGTCTCTTTTGATTAGAATTAAGTTGTATTTTAAAAATAGTGCAAAAGTTGTGGAAGTTGATAAGTAGGAGTAGATGTATAGTTAGAGCAATTATTTGAGAGAAGAAAGTTATAAGTTTACAGTTTCAAAGAAAACAATACTTGAGATCGCCCACAAATTGACCTTAAAGGTATACTTTAATATAATGATTGTTTGCAATAGTTTGTTGCAAAAGAAGGATTGAGTTTAATAAAAAGATTTGATTTTTTTTTAAATGTGTGTAAAAACGAGAAGAAGATAACAAAAGAGGGAAGTCCAACGTCAGTCTAATCATTTAGTCTCTTGTCCTGCATAGGGTACCGAAGCTGTGACATCATATTTTTAGAATTTCTCAATTTTTACTTCATTTTCCGAAAGAGCATAAAAAATAATGTACAAATGTTGAAAACCAATTGAATATGTAAAGTATTGGCTGAGATATGACCATCTGAATAAATAGATATCCTATAGGAAGTCAGTGTTATATTGCTCTGGCTCGTAATGGTTATGAACCAGAGCAGAATAACACCGATTTCCAATTAGAAATTATTTATTCAGATGGTAGGCTACTCTCAGCCAATACCCAACATATTCAATTAAATTTTCGATATTTGTACATTACTCTATTCTCAAAATAGTTTTTTGATGAGCTCACACCTGACCACAGCAGAATAACACCGAGTTCCAATTAGAAATCTATTTATTCAGATGGTCATATTTCAGCCAATACTCAATATATTCAATTAATTTTCGACATGTGTACATTATATTTGATGCTCTTTCGGAAAATAGTTAAAATTGAGAAATTCTCAAAATAGTTTTTTGATAACGTCACACTTCACCACTCTATTAAAAATCCGAGATTTATGGTCATGTATACTTACTGCATTTTTCTTAAGAGATGAGAGTTCACTCTGAAGAACTCTGAGCTCACTGATCTGATTGCAAAGAACAACAAAAATAAATTAAATAAAAATAAACAATGATCATAATTAATAAATAATAAGGGAAACGCTCTCTGCGGTCTCGCCTGCATTACGCAATTTGATATGATGAAAAATTGAGGTTTGGACATTATTTATAGGCAGGGTGGCCCATTTGCAGGCCCCCCAAATGAAATTCTTTGAATAGTCTAGGTCTATAATCAGCATTTTGAAGTGAATATTGACTAAGAATCATCAGAAGAATTATTTACTATAATTTGTACCAAGGTTGATAACTTTAATGAAATATGAACAAATAACAATGATTGATTTATTAATTCTCATATTAGACCTCTAGATCTAGTCTAGATCTAAGTTGTGAAAACATAATCCCAAGACTACTGACCTAAAATGACCTTTGACCTTGACTTTTTGACCTGGAATTGGTGGCATATGATTTGTAATACTTGATAACCCTTGTGTACAAGTTTCAGGGTAGTGAGCACATTTATTAATTTTTTTTGGTCCTCGATAATTTAAAAATTTGCACCCCCCCCTTGAGCGCCAGGGGGGGGGGGGGGGGTCCCAACCAACTCCCAAAAAGGTAAAAATCACGTGTTTTTACATGATTTTTTTTCTCAAGGGGGGGGGGGGCGGGGGGATCCGCCACTGTATTTGGGTATCTCCACGCTAAAGTTACGAGTCAAATTTTGGATAGATCTCTGAACAAGCGCCGTATCTTAATAACAGACATTTAATATAATTTATGGGACTAGGCCTAGCATGAATCGTTTGCTTGGTGGAGATTACACTTCTTGCCGCTTTACGTTCGGTATCTTTTAAACCTAAACTATCTTTATAACCTGTTTTAGATTTGTAGTATATATACAGTCATCAATTAGGTCAGAAAAAAGTTCAAAATGGACTCTACGTTACCTGTCTATTGGCATGGATATTTGCTGCGTCTGCTACACCCACGTTCACCATGGGCGCCGCCATATTTCAAAATGTCTATTGTGCAACTTCCGACTTTTAAGTTTTATCGCCGAGTTTGGCTTTGATGGTTTTAAAACATGTGCTGTCGGGCGATGTTAGGGGAAGAATCCTGCGCTTTCGTCACCACTTTTGGTCAGTACTTTGTGTATCTATTTTGCTTTGAATCACATGAAATGGTCTTTTATTGCTTGATGAGGAGGATTAATTGCTATCAGCTTGAGAACGTAACATGGCCTGGTATTATATATGGTAAGGAAATATGTTAGCAAAATACTTGCGCTACAGTACAGTACAGTAGGCCTAAGCCTAGGTAATAACAGATCCGCCCAGGATTTTTAGAGGGGGGGGGGGGGGGGGGGGACAAAGCCCTGCATCTGCATGGTCCTGGGGGGCGGGGTCAAGGGGCCAGCCAGAGCCTTCAGAAGCTCAGGGCCAGGGGTATGGGCATTTAAATTGCGGTCAGGTGAGCATATATTGACACATACTGGTAGGTCACTAATTAGCGTGGGGTCCCGGGAGCTGAGCCCCCTGAAACTTGAGGATTTGAGGCATTTATAACGGTCAGCTAAGAAGTCAGGGGCCGGGCCCGTCTTAGGCCCCCTGGAGGGGTCGACAGGGCAGAGCCTCCGGAAGCTCAGGGGTTTTAAGCATTTAATTAATACGGTCAGATGAGCATATGTTGATACCTTATTTGTGACACTGGCAGGACATGGGGGCCAAGGGGCGGAGCCCCCAGAAGCTCAGGGATATTAGGCATTAAATTACCGTCAGATGAGCTAGTGGCCATTAGGGCCCTAGGTGGGGTCCAGGGGGCTCAGCGCCCGTTAGCTCAGGGGGTTAATGCATTTAAACATGGCCAGCGAGATGAGCGTATTTTGATGCATGCCTCGTTATTTTGTGACACGGGCAAGTCATTATTCTTAAAAAATTAGGAAAAATATCTGAAAATTATGTCATTTCAGCAACATTTGTAAATTACCGGTATCAAGTTAGAAATTTGAAATTTATTTGGGGGTGGGGGGAGGGGGCCAATTGCAAGCCCGCATGCAGCGCTGAGGGAAAAAATATATAACCCCCTTCAGGTCCAAAGAATGTTATATACCCCTTGCCAGTCAATATCTGTTATATTAGATAGCCTTGGTTTGATTTTTTTTTTTGGGGGGGGGGGTCCTTTTTTTTTTGTTACCCCAAATTTTTTTTCCGAGGACAAACAAAATTTTAGAAAAGAAATTAAGTGCGAAGAAAAAAAACTCTCGAGATAATTCGAGAAAAATAGAATCCTTAAAAAAAAAAAAAATGTGGAAAAAATATTTCAAGGAAGAAAACAAAAAATTAGAAAAAAAAATTCTTACCCCCAAAAACATTTTTTGGAAGAGCAAAAAAAGTACAATTTAAATAACTTTCACTAAACAAATCTGACTTTCTTGATTTTTATTTTACTTGATTTTATTTCATCACTTTCAGCTGATGATGTAGTGAGAGAGCTGTAGAAGTGAGATGAATTGGAAGAACATCATTCCATTATCATTGGGACTGCTCGCTGGGGTGCTTTCAGCCATCAGCATTTTGCAGTACCAGGGATTATCCATGCCGACCATAGCACCAGATCCAGAATACGCATTGGGAGGGACCAGCTTCTACTTCGTATCGCTTCTCAACAAGAGAGCTTGGGATCGGACTAAGAAGAGAGATGGTGATGGAGGAAACATGGATGAGATAGAAGAGTGGCTGGGCAGTCCCCTTGGCCATGAAGGAGATGAGAATATGGGTGAGATAGAGGAGTGGTTGGGTCCCCTTGGCTATAAAGGAGACAAGAATATGGGTAGGACAAAGCATGAGAAACATGAGCAGGAGGAGGAGGAGGAGGAGGAGGATTACAGGGAGGAAGCGATGGGATTAGATGCAGACCTGATGGAGATTGCTTCATCACCAGATTTTGATACGTTCCAGGACGCCCAACGTCTCAAGGACAAGATGAAAGTCCTTTGCATGGTCGCACTCGTAGAACAAGACGTTGCCAAGTATAGCACAGTTTTAGAGAACACATGGACGAAACATTGTACCAGGGTTATGTTTGTGAGCAATACAGCCATCAGTGTAAAGACAAATGTGCTTCGGACAGATCTGAAGCCTGGTAAATCTCACTCTTGGCAAAGGACAAAGATCCTGCTGATGGAGGCCCATGATAGGTTTGTAGAAGAGTTTGACTGGTTTGTCAAAGTGCCACGGGATGGATTTGTGGTCTTAGATAACCTGAGATACCTCCTCTTGCTCCACCAAGCCAGTATCCCTGGTTACATTGGGCATGTTTTCAAGGGACCAAGCAGAGATGGCTCGGCCCTAGTCCTCAGCCGCTACGCCTTGGAGGTGATTGTACCCACCCTGGTCACCTGCTCACCGAGCTACTTTCAAGGTTTCGATGATGGGGAGGTTCTGGAAACGTGTTTCAGAAACCTGAATGTGATCTCTATGATGGATGGGCGTGACCAGTCAGGTATCTTGCAATTCCAGATGAAGGTTCCTAGATTGGATATTCCTGACGGTGCTACCAGTCGTAAGCAGTGGAACTGGAGATACACAAAACACCCAGAAAGACAGGTAAATTTTACATTTAACCGTACAAAATGCAATCTCTTGAAAAGAAGGTTGAGTTCTGGGAAGAGGTGAAAAATAATTTGTGAGCGTTACTCATTCTTATTATGCAAGTGTGGAAGAACATCAGATAAGACATGTTCCCTGAAAAGCATGGCTCTTCAAATGCCTTCATATTCTAAATATGCATGTAACATCATAAAAATCGGGGGGGGGGGGGGGGGGCGGCTTTTTACGCCACGTGTTCGTGTAGTCCCATATACATATTTCTGTGTACAGTGTTTGTAACTCTACCAAGACTTTGCCAATTTCTTATCATTTTGATGATTCCAGAACCTTGCAATACACAAAAATTCTTATATGCTAGATAATCAACCTTTTCTGGTCGGTTCCACACTGTTTCTTTCACAATGCAATCGCATGACCAGAACTCAACTTCATCTTTAAGAATAAAGTGGTGTCGTTGAATGGTTGTAAAGGTACTTATGTCCCATTTGCAGGCCAAACAAATCAAAAGGTTAAATTCCAACCACATTTGAAAGACAATACTAATTTTGAACTTCTCTCAAAACGAAAGGGCTTGAAAATGGCTTTTAGTGGGAAACTAACGACAATTAGTTGTCGAATCGACGTATGCGATTGCAATCACCTACCTATAAGTAATAGTCTGATTTTTAGACCCTTTTACTGAATAGTTATACGTTTTGTGCTGCACAAAGATCAATCAGTTTCGTTTTGGCCATTACAAGCAGGGTTAGCATATTTCCCGCTTCGGAGGCTTATTTCCCGGATGCCGGGAAATAAGCGGTATTTACCAGTATTTCCCGCTTTTTACCGGTATTTACCACTTTTTTTTGGGAAATACTGGGAAATACTGGGAAATATATTTTTCCACTCACTTGTAGGAATTGTCCAATTTTGAACATAACAATGGTGGTGCTCTGGTGTGTACTATTTGTGTGTGTGGGTGTGTGTTTGTTTGTGTGTTTGTCTATGTCTGTTATTATGAAATGCTGGAAAAAGTACAGGAAAAAGGTCCAAAATATACACCTAATCTTGCTATGATGTTTTTCATTAAAGGGAACCAAAACCTTCATACTATTAGTTACTTTTATTGTAAAGTTTAAGATACTGTATTTGAATAAAATCAGTGAAAATTTTAACAAAATCGGGCAAGGAATAAGGAAGTTAAAGCATTTTGAAATGACTAGTCACTAGAGGGCGATATTCAATTTGATGAAATCATTTGTGGACAACTCTCCATGCCTTTTGTACATCAAATTTCACAATTCTTTCGTTTTCTTTGTATTTATTTGTGCTCTTGATCCGACTTCATAACATGTGAAGCAGAATATCATTTTGCATGCTATACCTTGCTTTCACTAAATCTCAATCACAAGAAAGAAAGAAAAACATGAAATTTGATGTCCAAAAGGCATGGAGAGTTGTCCACAAATGATGTCATCAAATTGAATATCGCCCTCTAGTGACTAATCATTTCAAAAAGCTTTAACTTCCTTATTCCTTGCCCGATTTTGTTCAAATTTTCACTGATTTTATTAAAATATCTTAAACTTTACAATGAAAGTAACTTAGTATAAGGGTTTTGGTTCCCAGTTGCTAATTACCATATTCATGAATACCCATTAATTAGCATTATGAACAAAATGCCATGTGTTTGGGTGTGTACATGTATGCAGTGAGGGTTTTATAAATCTGTTTGTGTGTTTCTACTATGAGTGTTGTGCTGCTAATTATTTCAGAACAATATATTCAGTTGTGAGGCTAAAAACAAGTAATATTATTAATAAATAGAGAATTAAAATCATATTTCCCGTTTTTTACACATTTACCGGACGCGCATCTTATTTACCGGACGGTATTTACCGGTATTTACAGCCGGTAATTACCGCCACCGGTATTTACCGCCCAACCCTGATTACAAGTAGTGGGTTATTGATGTAGACAAATGCTCATGTACCTGTTGCAGCTCATTTTATGTATGTTAAAGATGAAGTTGAGTTCTGGTCTTGCGATTGCATTGTGAAAGAAACCGTGTGGAACCGACCAAAAAAGGTTGATCATCTAGCATATAAGAATTTGTGTGTATTGCAAGGTTCTGGAATCATCAAAATGATAAGAAATTTGGCCAAGTCTTGGTAAAGTTACATATACTTGCACAGAAAGATGTATATGGGACTACACGAACACGTGGCGTAAAAAGCCAGCCCCCGATTTTTACGATGTTACATGCATATTTAGAATATGAAGGCATTTGAAGAGCCATGCTTTTCAGGGAACATGTCTTATCTGAATGTTCTTCCACACTTGCATATAAGAATGAGTAACACTCACAAATTATTTTTCACCTCTTCCCAGAACTCAACCTTCTCTTTAATTATTACCAAATTAAAAAAATGTCAGTCACTCAATAGTGTCTGACATCTAGAAGGTAAACAGGTTTCCTTGCATAGTTTGAATACCAGGACACCGCTATTGTTTAAATTTCACAGATAGAACATACATGTACATGACATTCATAATTCCTGCAAAGTTCTACAGAATTTGATGTTGGCTGCTAAAGTGACATACATGTAGTATCTTTAACACTTGACTGGAGATGCAAAGTTCACGGATAAAAGCCCAGGCAGGGCACTTGTATCTTTTGACATGACATTAATCTAGATGTTTGCCACTCTCCACTCAGGTGTTAAGGGCTTTAAGTAATGGTCGGGTCTAATGATAAAGGTCATTGGTATTGCATTATAAAAATTTACCGGTGCTCCCGGAAAATTTCGATAAATTTCAAATAGCGCCTACGGCCGTACAATAGTTGCTGCGACCATGAAAATCTCAGAAAATGTAATTGTAATATAAAATTTCCAGACGAGAATAGCTAAAAATCGGTCGATTTTAGTCAAGAAGCATTGTTTTACATTGTTTTATAGCTTAATTAATATCTTGGCCTTGAGAGGGAGCTATACAACTTAATTATTTACAACTTCCTAACTTTAGACTCGATTTCAACCGCGATAACGATCACTGAATATTGTAGGATCGCATATGCTTCCATTATGTTCATTTGAACCAAATTCATGACCCCATACCAAAACTTTGTATTACCTTTAATTAATTTTTCAAGGACTCATGATAAATTCGTTTAACAGTTGATTACCCTCAGTCGGTTGATTCTTTTGATCGGATTATTTGGCGGGGAGAGATCGAGGTGAACGATCTCACGCTTAATGACGTTGTATTATTATTCGTATTTGTTCTTTGTCTCTACGATGCTCCTGAAAGATTTTTTAATTGTTGTTAAGAAATTTTTGGGTGAACTGATTATGATGATGTGTTTGACCTGTTTTTTCAATAACAAGATCAAACACACAATGAAAATCTACTGGGTGCATGCCAATTAGTTCTTTACAACAATAAACAAATGTTGCTATGCGGTGTGGCGTACACATGGCAATCACATGGTAGATAGAATTATAATCATCAGTACTGGGTCAAATAAATTAAAGAGAACTTAATTTGAACTTTGGCCATAAGCTACCCCCTCTCGTTCTCTCTCCCTCTCCCTCCCTCTTCATCGCCTTACTTTTCCCTCTCTTACCTCCCGTTGCATTTGTATGCCTCGATAATACAGAAAATAAACAATAAGATTCTTCCTCTTCCCCTCCTTCTTCCTAGTGCATGTAGTAGGAGTAGTATTAACATCAGTAAGACAATAATAGATGAGGTTTAAGGTTTAAGAGTTGAGGTTTAAGATTTTAGTGAATGATGTCCAAAAATGCAAAAAAAAATGCAAAAAAAAAAAAAAAAAAAAAAACTGAAATTATATGCGATTTTTTTCTCATTACCGTCACTTCGTGAAAAAGGGGACGAATAGTCCGAGCCACAAGTGGCGATCTCTACGCCATCATTTTGTTTCAGGGAGGGAAGAGGGGATCGTTGTCCTCCATCGAACATAAAGATGACACACAAATCGCTGCCACTGCCGTTGGATACCTTCGCATTGCACGGTAATACAGATTGCGATATTTCTAGTTACCATAATTATTTGGAAATTAAATTTTTACCATGCTTGTTCGTTTCCCTCATATTCAATATATACAGGCCAATTTAATGAAAATATATCTCTGAATAACAATTATTTGAATACGTGTACAAATGAATATCATATAATACTCCAGAATAAGTAATGAATATCAACCATAATAAGTGATGACTGAAAACATATTGATAATAATAATATGATAATGATAATACTATACACACAGAACATGGTAATGAAAAATAATAAAAACAATTATTTAAAAAAACAAAAACAAAAGAAAGAAATAAACATATTTTTATTTCCAGAAAAAAACAATGCAACATCGTGACTGAAAATAATTTGGGAAGTTCAATTAAATATTACTATCAAACGATCAAATTCCTCTCAAAATTAATGTATCCATTTTTTAAATCAAATTTGTCAGTTTTGTTAGCAAGTACCGTATACTAACCTGCCTCTCATTTATGTAACTATTTCTGATATGTTTTGTTACTGTCTGAAAGGCCGGTAGATTTTTGTATTACATCAAAATATAATTGTTGTTTAGTCCAAATTATTGCTCAGTTTAAAGCTTCATTTTGTTTCTCAATGAAACCAAACAAAACATGTATTAAGGACAGTTTCATTCTACAGCGTGTTACAATGTTTAACCAGTCGGTCAAACGATTCCAAATCAATTTGGTCACGTTATAGGAGTAAAAAATGTGCACCATATCTTCTTCTCCTCTTCCACAAAGGTGAATAGTTCTTATTAAGAATTACCGTATTTTAATTTTTAAAAGATCTTTATTCAAATATAGTATCCTATTTAAAAGTCTATACTGGTCTATAAGGTGCCGAACTGTTGTAGGCATTGTACAGCGAAACATAACCGTGAAATAATATTGCATATATTTATTATCAAATAACATACCATCTGCATGCCACCTATTACATAACGTATTTA